CAAAAAAAAAAAAAAAACCCAAAAATAAACACAAAAATTAATAGTATTCTGATCCACTAAAAATGAATTTATTGAGAAAGAAATTAGAAAACCATACCATTCACAATAGTATCAAGGAAAATTAAATACTTAGGGATTAACCAAATCAAGGAAATGAAAGACTTCTACAGTGAAAATCACATCACACTGAAAAAAAGGAAATCCAGGAAGATATCAAAAAATGGAAAGATATCTCTTATTTCTACATGGGCAGAATCAATATAATCAAAGTAACTATAATTCCAAAACTGATATGCAGGTGTCACGCAGTAGAAATCAAAATACCAACAGTGCCTCTCACAGATCTAGAGAAAACAGTCCTAAAATTCATATGGAACCAGAAGAGACCCAGAATAGCAAAAGCCATCCTGGGTCACAAAGCAACAGGCATCAAAATCCCAGATTTGAAGTTTAATATTACAATGCTGCTGTAATTAAAACAGCATGGCACTGTCACAAAGCAGACATGTGGATCAGTGGACCAGAATAGAAGAAACAGAAACAACCCCAGGCACATTCAACTATTTGATTTTTGACAAAGGAGCCAAAAACATACATTGAAGGAAAGATAGCCTCTTTAATAAATGATGCTGGGGAAAATTGGATTTCCATGCAGAAGATTGAGTCGAGACACGTATGTGTTACCTGTACTAAACTGAGATCAAAATGAATTAAAGATCTAAACGTTAAAACAGAAACACTTAAAAATAGGTACAACTCTTGGAAGACAGGTGTAGGCAAGGACTTTCTGATCAGAAACCCAACGGCATGAGAATTAATACCAAAACTCTATAAATGGGGGATCATATCAAATTCAAAAGCTTCTGCACAGGAAAGAAAACAACCAACAGAGTAAAGAAACAACTGCAGAATGGGGAGAAAATCAGTAGTTTCCTTGGAAAGAGAACTAACATCTAGAATATATAAAGAACTCAAAAATTTAGTCTATTCAAAGTCAAAGACCCAGTCAAAAAATTGGCAGCAGAAATGAATAGACATTTCTCAGAAGAACAAGTACAAATGGTCTATAAATACTTGAAAAAATGCTCACCATCACTAGCCATTAGAGAAATGAAAATTACAACTACATTGGGATACCATATTACCCTAGAAAGAAAGGCTATCAAGAGTCATTCATAGGAAAATGGATACATATTGAGGCTATACTCCTATGTGAAATAAATAAGTCACACATGTGTAAACACCGAATAGTTTCTCTGGTGTGAAAAGCTATAATGGTACATAAGATCCTAATGGTATAATTGACAATGTGAAATAGGAAGAAAAGGGCTAAAGGTGTAGGGGCAATGGGAAGGGTAGGGGAAAGGAAATAAGGGAAAAGAAAAAAAAATGAGAAAATGAAAAAATGGAAATAAAGTATTTGTAAATCGGTAAGGGAGGAGGGGGTGAAAGGAGAGCGGGGATAAGGGGAAAAAATGAGAACCAAGACCTGTCATGTAAAGGTACAACATCCCAATGATGAATGTAACTGAACTGTATTCCTAAGATGTACCAATAAACGCAATGAGGAAAAAAAAAAAGGCTATCTGCAAAAAATATAACAAATGCTGGGTAGGCTGCAGCGGGGGGAGGGAAAGAAACTCTTCTATAATGTTGGTGGGAATGTAAATTAGTACAGCCACTATGGAAGTTGGTCTAGAGATTCCTCAAAAAACTAAAAATGGAAATTCCACACGACCCAGCTATGCCCCTGTAGGTATCTTCTTAAAAGAGTTCAAGTTATCATATTACTAGGATACTTGCATACCCATATTCATATAAAGCAGCACAATTTATAATAGCTATATCTTGAAACAGTGTATATGGCCATCAGCAGATAAATGGATAAAGAAAATGTATTTATACACAATTAAGTGCTGCTTTGCTATAAAAACAAACTGGAGGCATTCGTGGTCAGATGGATGCATCTTGAAAACATAATGTTAAGTGAAGTAAGTCAAACACAAAAGTCTAAATGTCACATGATTTCGCTTATATAGCTCAAACTATACATAGATATAAATAAAGTACAAAATATGGGCTGGGGATTTAGTTGAGTGGTTCCGCCGCCTGCCTTGCAACCACAAGGTCCAGAGTTCGATCCTTGGTAACAAAAGAGAACAAAATAGAAGATGAAATGTGGTAGGAAGGAAGGAGTTCGGGTAACTCCCCAAATTCTCTATTCCTTTGTTTCAAAAATATGTTGATATATATTCTATTTTGTCTGTAAATTTAAGCTTCTAGTTTCTCTTAATTCTTTGAGAAGAGAGTTTTATGTTTGTAAGAGAGTCTTTTTTGTCTATGACTCAAACTCTGAGTAATGTTTTGGCCTTTCTTTTACTACTATAATACACAGTGTATTAAGTATTGTTATCCTGTATTTTGTTGTGAATTTTGTTATAAAGAACGCTTTTTAATTTATTGATATCTGCTTTTGTTACATTAAAATAAAAAATAGGGTGTGTCTTTAAATTTTAAAAATGCAGTAAACTCATTGCCGTGAATCACCCTCACAGTACTCCCTGGCTGTGAACACACTCAGCCCATCGTTTTGCCCCTTTTTGAAGCATTTCTAGAAGTCCGCTTTGGGGAGGTTTCAGTAAGAGGTGTGATAAAAAATATGGCAGTGGCTACTGCCGAGCTCCATCCAGTAGAAAAGTAATCTAAAAATATTGTGGCTGGTCGTCATCCACCTGGTCTCGCACCCTGTGACTGCGGGCTCCTCTCTAAAGCCAGAATAGCCACGAAAAGCCGGCATCTTCAGTAGACCGGTGACAGCAAGCGTAACCAACCTTCCGGAGAGAGGGCTTCCAAAGCTGCCTCAGAAAGGGGCGAAATGGGCCGCGTGAGCGGGACGTGAGAAGGAGGATTCTGGGGGGGATTCGGTCTGTCCAGTGATCACACTTCATGGTCACCAAAATCATTGCCAGAGGTGATTTCCGTGGGCCTTGTCTGTGATTTCTTTCTTTTTTCACAGCTCGAAAGTCAAAGAAGTTGGGGAAGTTAAAAGGCATTCACGAGGAGCAGCCCCAGCAGCAGCCCCCACCTCCACCGCCGCCGCCCCAGAGCCCTGAGGAGGGGACCACGTACATCGCGCCTGCGAAAGAGCCCTCGGTCAACACGGCCCTGGTCCCTCAGCTCTCCACCATCTCTCGAGCCCTCACCCCGTCCCCAGCCATGGTCCTGGAAAGCATCGAACCGGAAATTGTCTACGCGGGCTATGATGGCTCTAAGCCGGACACGGCCGAACACCTGCTCTCCACCCTCAACCGCCTGGCCGGCAAGCAGATGATCCAGGTCGTGAAGTGGGCCAAGGTACTTCCAGGTAGGACGCCTCTCCTCCCGCCGCGATGTGTGTGGGATTCCCTGTGCTTCGCCCTTGTGTCACAGCTTGAAATTGACAACCAGGGGATGCAGCGGTGTGTGGGGAAAGTCCGGCTGGGCCTCATTTCTTAGGTCAGTTTGGGGTTCGGGATTCTAGGGCTGCGTTTCTCATGTTGGTTGTTACAGTGGAAATTTTATCCTAAAAGTATTAATAAAGGGGAGTGCGTTTTGTGGGTGAAAACATGACAGAGCCTGTTATTAGCAGCTCATAAGTTGGGCTGCTCTGGGCAAAGGTTGGGTAAGCACAGGCCACCCCGGCATCCTCAGAATTGCCTTTTCACTTCCCACTTGGTGGTCGTTTTCTGTGATACAGGATTTTATTAATGGGGCCCTGCTCATCTACGGAAGTATCCCTTAGGAATGTTATCAGATTGTCTCAGTTTGTGAATCCAGAGCTGTGTCTCAGCTGATCTATGATCTAGCAGCAGCCACCACACAACAGGCTTTTAGGACTGATTTTTGAAGGGAATTGGCCCAGCTGAAGATCTGCAGCAGGAGGAGTAGCGTGATGCCATTGGGAACAGAAGGGGCAAGGAAAGAACAAAAAAGCTATGAGGCCACTTACTGAACCAGGTGCCAAGGGTGCCTAATCTATAACTGGACATTGCTACCAGGCATGGTGAAGCAGCACAGGCCTGTAATCCCAGCCATGCATGGTGCAGAGGCAGGAGGGTTACAAGGCCGAGGCCAGCCTGGGCAACTTAGTGACTTCATGAGACCATGGGCGTGTAATAGAGTGGTGGAACTTTCCTCTGCATGAAACCTTGGCTTCAATCCCTGGTATCCCACCAAAAATAACAAAACAACAAAAAAGAAGTCAACAGGTAGTATTTCCCCAGCCTGTGGAAAGCAAGAAATAATTTTTCGGTACTACGAAGTCATGAAAAGTAAAATCTTTTGCCATTTTTAAAGACATGCAGATGTCAGCAGTTATTAAATTGCCCCTTAATTGAGTGTGATGATTGTGTGGCGGCTGACACAGGTTTTGGGGGTGATACAGAGTCTTTCGGAGGCTGAGCAGGAGTTGAATCTCACCGGATGCTCCAGCACTGGTGGGACTTGGCTGGTCCTACTCACAGAGCGCTTAGGGTGAGTTAAAAGGAAGTGTTCTTCAGGGCCAGGCATGCGGGCAGCGCTGCCTAAATGCCTGTGGGATTGATCTGCATCTGTCAGAGAACGGGGCAGACTTAAGAAGCTTCTTCCTGGAATGTACTTAAATGCTAAGTGTATTTCTGTGATTAATCGTTCTGTTCTTCAGGATTTAAAAACTTGCCTCTTGAGGACCAAATTACCCTAATCCAGTATTCTTGGATGTGTCTGTCATCATTTGCCTTGAGCTGGAGATCGTACAAACATACGAACAGCCAATTTCTCTATTTTGCACCGGACCTAGTCTTCAATGAGTAAGTACCTATTAATTAGCCCTGATAAAACAAACTGCAGAATTATTCGTTACACTCTCTCTTTTTTTTTTCGGTTAAATAATTTCTAAACAGATGTGCATGCGTGAAAGAATCTAATGAAATGGGCATTTTTTAAGTGTTAAGAGTCTATATTGATCTTTGAGAATTTCAAAATCACTTTTTAGAACATTTTGAGTATATGTAAATCCTACATAATAGTATGTGGGAATTGTCCCAGAAGAGAGATAATCCAGTTGGCTCTAAATACTCAACTGGTACAAAGCCACAATTAATAGAAAATAGTCTCTTTTGGTATCTACTGCATTTGGGAAGACGATCTAATTTCTAGGAAATGTGCCTGTGTGAAAGTGCCAGTTTTTGCAAGCATTTTATAATGGTTCTTTTGTTCACCGTATACAGCTGCTCAGTATGTTTTCATGACAATCATAATTACCCTTCTTTTCAGTCACCGAAAAAGCCAAAATGTTATTCTGTAGTGAAACATTTTTATTTTATGATGTATTTTAAAAGATTGAAAGAATTTTAATAGATTTCTCTTTGGCTATGAATTCTCTCCCATTTTAAGTTTGTATTTTAATAGTGTCTGAATTCCCCATTAGCAGATTTCATTTATGTTTATATTCAGTGATGCTTCTTTGTAATTGTTGGGTCAAGAAATATTTAAAAGAGAATGTTGGAATTATGATAGTAACCACGCCACATCCTAACAGATGGTGCTCTCTCTAGAGACAGGAAAATGGGAATTTCAGAGGAGAGAGACAGATGACAAATGGTTTGATGATAAAAGATAGACACGGTGCCAAGGCACCTCAGGAATATCCATAGCAATCTACCTACAAGCACCAATTCACTCCACCACGTACCGCTGAGATAGTTTCATCCCCAAGAAAAATAGGACTCTCAGTTGGATCTCGAGACGGCCCCTCTATTGGCAGTTATAACGAATCATTCTACTGCTGAATCAATTTTCAGCAAAAACATGAAGTAAAGCCAAGTAACTGGCCTGCACATTTTAACTTATTTGTTTTCCTCAGCAATCAGCTGACACAGTATTAAATAGTAAGCTGGTTTTATAAACCAAAAGAAAAAAAAATACTAAGGAAGGCTCTTGTTTATAAAAGACAAGGTAGGTGGAGAGGAAGGAATCTCTCATAGTGCCCACAGAGTATCTCCATTTGAATTTGTTGCAGTAGAAGTTTAACATGATTCATTTAGTCTTTTTCAGCGTTATCTGTCCATCTTTCGCAAAATATAACATGAATTTGGCCTCACTCTGAAGTGTACAATTCGCATGGTGATCCATCTGTGGTACATTTTCACATCCCAAACTGAAACTCTGAACCATTCAACTGTGATTCTTCACTCTTTCCTCTGCTGAACTCCTGATAAACTCTAGTCTATGAATTTGCCTGCCTTGTGGATATCTGATATAAGTGGAATTATAAAGTGTTTGCTCTTTCTTTGTATCTAGCTTATTTCCCTTAGCATAATGATTTCAGTGTTTATCCATGTAATAGCAAGTATCCACATTTCGTTCCTTTTTATGGCTGAATATCACTCTATTATTTATACGTGTATCTTCAGTATCCGTGTTTCCCATGCTTGTGAATTGGCCTACTGGTGACACTGATTTATAACCTCAGAGTCCTCGGTATTTTAACCATCATTCACAGACTCATGCAGTTGTGCAAAATTTGCGTCACCAAGAGTGCCTATGCCGGCAGAAATCAAGTAAGGCAAGCTCATATTCTGCATGCAAGCCTTTTTTTCCCCCTTCTATTCAGTGCTACTCATTTTGCATTTCTGTGCTTTTCATTGGTGGTTTCCCTGTTTAACATGGCCGCGAACATAGCATTGAAGGTTGTCTGGTGTCACTAAATTCAAGAAAGCTGTCACTGTGCCTTACAGACAACTTACATGTAAGGTCAGCTTTGTTCCAGCCTGAGTTCCGCTGCTGACCTTGAGTTCAGTGACACTGAGGAAACCATGCATGTTGAGGAAGATGTCTCTGAACAGAAACTCACATAGAACAAGGCCATCTGTGGATCAGCTGACCAAAATGCTGTGTCCAGAGGCTCCATGGATCCTAATCCTTTCCCCCTAGGAGTGGCTTGATATTTACTGATAATTCAGGGTTCCCAATGACTTTCTGGACTGTAATTACTGCAAATAAAGCAAATTGACTACAATTTCTTTCTCCATTCACCACTTGATGTCATATAGGTTGTCGGTTGTGCTTAGGTATTATGGACGATGCTGTCCTGAACATGGATTATACAAGTATCTCTTGAGATATCTATTTCTGCTTTCAGTTCTTTTGGATATATATTGAGTAGAATTGCTGGGCATATGATAATTCTATGCTAGACTGTTTTCCACCCTGTAGTTTCCACGTTTTACATTCCACTAGCAGAGTATAGGGTACTGATTTTGCCACATCCTTGCCAGCACTTCCTTTCAGCAGGCAGGCTTGCAGGTATGAGGTGGTGGCTCATTCTAGCTTTGATTTGCATTCTCTGCTGACTACTGGGGCATCTTTTTACATGGTTATTGGCCAGTGTATATTTTCTTTGGAGAAGGCATTTGCCCATTTTTCAGTTGGATTGTCTTACCGTTCTTCGGTTGAAGAAGTAATTTATATAATCTGGGTATTAAATCTTCATGGACATATGACTTATAATTGTTTTCTCCCATGTGTGGGTTCTCTTTTCACTCTCTTGGAAGTATCATACACAAATTTCTTAATGAATCCAACATATCCTTCTTCTTTATGTTGCCTTTAGTTTTGGTGTCATCTGTTAATTTTTATTTGTTAACATCTGAGTGTAGAGGGTCTAAACAAAATGCATAATTATAAGAATCTTTTTCAACAAATGAAACATAGGAGGAATCACTTTCTATTTGAATTTTTTAATGTTACCTCCCCAGTGAATTCAGACTCTGTTTTAGATATTTTTGAGTTTCTAGCACCTAGAATTGTGCCTAAGATATAGTAGATACTCTATAAATATTGCAGAATAAATAAATTATTGAACAAATTAATCAAATAATCTGTTCACCAACCTGAAAGATTTCTTAATTTATATTTATAACATGAGAATAAAATTCTTGAGAAAGGATTATAATATGTACATCCATTTTTTTCATGGATGGAGGTATGGTTATATTTAAAAAGAGGACTAAAATGTTTTAGTTGATCATTTTTATAGGCCTTCATCTTTGAAATAAAACTGCAAGTTGCTAACGATCTTATTCTTCAGCTGTGTATTAGCCATATTTGAGCTCAAAGACATGCAGGAAGTAGAGAGTCAAAAAGGAAACAGCCTTTCCGATTTTTTATTAAGCTCTGGAATGAAAATGAATTAATACTTTAACATGAAACTTTTCTTATTATAAACTCAAAACTTTTCAATATATATTAGATGATTAATTATTCAATTTTATCTTAAAACAACTTACCATATATTGCTACAGATCACTGCAACTGTTCAAATTTCTTACCAGTTCACCACACATTAAACTCTTCCTTAAGCCTATGCTGAAAGTTTTCCATTTTTTCCCCTGAAATGAAGGCTCAATATTATACTTTTTGAAGCCTTAGCTAATATTTTAAAATTAAAAGTCTGTTAATTGCATACACACACACACACACACACACACACACACACACACACACACACACACACATTGTGTTGAGAAATAGCCTAACAGAAATGAGTCTGAGGTGATCTTTCACTGTCTTTATTGTCTGGGCCTTCTGTTGTCTGGTCCCAACACTGGAAGAGCGAGAGAGCGCAGAAGTCTTCATGTCACCTCCCCAGCCTCTCGCTGTGAGTTCCAAGCAGATGTCTACTGGGGAGACCTCCACTCAGCAAACTCATGGCCCACACTGTCCCGGTCTTCAGCCCCAGCTGTGTGACAGCAGCACCATCAGAAAAGGAGACAGTAGGGTCTTCAGTTATTTCGTATTGGGTTTTCCTGGGCTGCTCCTGGTCTCTTGTGTTTCCAGTCGGGGGATCAGCGTGCTGCTAGTGCAGTTGTCCCTGGTGAGGGGATTTCCCTGGGCCGCCCCTCCCATTAGCACAGAGCAGTGAGGAGCTCCAGGTCCTCTCCTGGTGCAGCCATGGTGAGTGATGCAATGTCTGTCTACCTGTGAAGGCCTGGCCCCAGCACCCTCCCAGAGGCCCGAGAGCTCCAGGCTATGTTATCCAGTGTCTGCCTCCTTACCTCCCCCACCCAGGAAAACACTGTCTTTTCTTCCTTTCACTGAGGAAACAAACAGCACTTGAAAGTTCCATCTTTTTAAAATTTCTGGGTAAATATGTGAGAATAAATTTTAAAAGCACAAAGTCCCCATGCCTTGTCCTTTCATTGAACCCTATGAAAACCCAGGCAGACTTAGCAGATGGAGGCCCAGGTCTACAGTGGGCTAATGATCATTGCACTGGGTACACAGAGCAGAGCAGCAGCCCCTTGCATTGGCCACCGTGGTGCTCAGCATGACCTGGCATCCTCCACCCAGCTCTCTGCACTCTGCCTGGCCCTGGAGATGGCTGGAGATGAGCGTCCTCCATAAAGAAAATCAGTGTCAGAAGTGGAAAATGCCAGTGCTTGTCTGCAGAGGGCAGGAGCAGCATAACAGGGAATTATGAGTCTTTTGCACAAAAGTGGGGTTTGAAGAACAGTCCCCCTGCCTGACAGAGGAGCCTCATCAGAGGGAACGTGGAGTGGCCTGAAGAGGATTGGCAGCATGGAAACAAGTCATTCAAGCACGTGGGGGATGGAAGGGACAGTCCCCAAAGTGACATTGCCTTCCTTCTGTGTTAAAATACTGTTTGTCCCCCTTACTCATCTAGAGATATTCAGCAGAGGATGTGAGAGGAGATAAATCCTTAGAAGAAATGGGTGCCACACTGCTGCTGAGTTGATTTTTTGCATTCAGAATTCCTAAGGGCCATCCTCCACTGAGAAGGGTGGAA